ATGGCTATTTACGAGAGACTCAGTCATATGAGTCGAACTCAAACCCTATCTAGGATCGAGTCGCGAATAAGGCTAAGAGCCGTGTATTGCACAAACAACCCGGCAAGACCAATGTCTTCGTGAGGCCCGCGAAGCAAGATGCTGTAGCTGCAAGCACCCTTCGCTCCATGGCACGTGGAGGGCCAACACGGGGCACTGAGGCTCCACCAAGCATTACCGGCATGGTCCCAGCTTCTGTGATGAGGGATGTGCTCCAACACATGCGTCTCACCAACAGAGAACTCACCCAAATCACAGCTTCGGTCAGCGTTCTCGACGCCGTGAAGCAGGAATTGTCCGGAGTTAAGGGACTCCTTCAGGTGATGGCCGAGAGAGATGTCACTGTGCCTGTTGCCGAGCTCGCTCAAAAGGCAGCCCAGGGATTTCGCCAAGTTGCTAGCAGCTACCAACAAGGAAGCCAGTGCATGGAAGAGCGTATTGCTGCATTGGAAAAGAAGGTCATCGCCAAAATGAAGGATGCGACCACGGACATGAAGAGGCACACAACCCAGAAGTGCACCGTAGTGTCGGACCAGCAGACCATGGCTGGTCCATCCAACCAGAAGATAATGGACAGGTTGGTCGCTCAAGACAGCATCCTAAATCATATGGACAACAACATTGACAAGCTGGAAGTGCACGTCAAGAAGACTGTTCACATCTTGGACACCAAGTGTCCTCACAGCAACTTGAAGTCTCCTCCAGCCGCTGGTACACCGAGTGATGCTGCTGGAGCAGGAGGGGCTCGTGACACTCCTGTCTCTTCCCACGGCTCCAGCATTGGAGGGAATTCCATTACTGGATCAAGAGGACACAGCTCTGGTGGAAACCATCCCCGTTATGTCAATATGACTGTAAACCAGTATGACAACGGAGTCCCCGGCGGTTCCTTGTTTGGCAATCCAGACGGTCAATCTCCTCATTGCTCTGTCCTTGGTTCCATTCTACCCCCCGCTCCCTCCAACCAACACCAGTGCAATACACGGCTCTTAGCCTTATTCGCGACTCGATCCTAGATGGGGTTCGAGTTCGACTCATGACTGAGTCTCTCGTGAATAGTCATTTGAGACAGGGTTCTCAATGACCGCTCTGGTCATACTAGGTTGATGATGAAACATCGCTCTAGATATTTAGCCAGCGTGGAGTACTTCCACGCTACTAGATCCATGCTAGACGAATCTTCCACGCGTTCCGTTTTAGGATCGTGGAGATAAGTAGGATTACTACCGCAACCTACTCTATCACACTTTATAGTCTCCCGCGGGAAGCCAGATCTACGATCCCTTGATGATGATCTCTCTTGTTGATTAGTTTTCATAGCTTTCTAATCTCTCTCATAACTTTCATTCTCTCAAACTCAAAACACTCGAAAGATCTTTACACTAGCTTTTAGCGTAATGCATTTTGTTAACAAACACAATAGCTTTCAGCTACCCTCAACCTATTCCTTCACCATGAAGATGGCTCAAGGAAAGCATGCGTTCCGCAACTTCGAGAAACAGTTGCGTGACAAACCCAT